TGTGTGGCCATGTCACACCGCGCCTCGTCGCCGAGGCCGCCGTGCCAGGCAGTCCGGTTCCCCTACCGGACTGCTTGGCGGACCCAGCGCGCATCGCCAACGCCACACAGAGTTCCCAGGCGATCACCACATACAAGTATCTCTACTACGCATTTAACCCAGTCCAGCACAGAAAATTATACATATCTCAATTGGTCCTGATTCGTCATAATGATTTAACTTCTTAACCTACAACTTCGAGCTAGACTCGCGGTACGTTCTTCGGGCCAAACTTAAGAAACACGAATTAGACTCGTGTATGTCCTTCGGGGTACATGCGACAAACATTTCTTTTTCTTAGCCGTATTCGGACATGGAGATATATTTTGTTGAAAAATATTAAAAAGATACCCTTAAAAATCTTAAAATTATTTATCAAACATCTTACAACATAAAATTAGTTGTATCTTGCACAACTTCCAGCGCTCAGCCAAACCGTGAAATGGCTCGACGTCTGACCGACCCTGCCGATGGTTACGGTACGCACTGTTGGTATTTAAATCATAAGGGGTTAAAAAACCAAACATATAAAAAACTAAAATCAAAAAGCAAAGAAGAAGGGAAACAGAAAGAAAATTAAGAAAATGAAATTAAACATGTTTATATATTATCCTGTTTAAATTAATATAAAAAATATATTCCATTATTCTAATGTTACATGTATTTTGATACAGCGCGTGTATTTAAAACGTGTGCCTAACAGCAAATCCTCTTGGAGTATACGTTTCAATTTCGCATCAAATGCTGGTGCATCCAGAGTTCGTTTTAAAGGCCAAAACAAGAAACACGTGAGGAATAATAAAGTTGCAAGGATAGTGTGCAAGGTTTGATTGTTCAGAAAAAGACGAGGAAAAAGGCGATGTTTGCTGCGTCATTCGGAATTCGGTATTTGAATTTTTGTTATAATTAAAAAAATTGCTGAAAACAAAAGTTTCGGTTATTATAAACTGTTAATTCATATTTTCGTAGGCTTTCCCTTCATACCTTGCTGCTCTTTTTAGTGCTTTTTCTTTCATTTCTATTAATTTGCATTCCTCTACCAGTATATAGTTTGGTGTTGTCATATCTAAGTCTAGTATCCATTTCACATATCTCCTTTGAACTCTGTCCAGTCTTTCTTCCATGTTCCATCCCCATACCTCTGCTCCAAACAGCGCCACCAGTGCTCCAAACATTTTCATTCTCCTTTTGTAGTCCTGTTTGAATATTTTTTCTCTCACGCTCCATGTTTTCTTGATTGCAATTGTTGCTCTCTTTTTCCTATCTTGTATGTGCTTCTCATCACTTCTGTTTTTCTGCAGTATATACCCTGGGTATCTTATCTCGTCCACCTCTTCTAATTCTTGCTCTCCCCACTTCCATTTTCTTTGCCTCCTTTTGTTCCTTCTTTTTTCAAAGACTACTATTTTAGTCTTTTCCGTGCTCAGCTCAATATCGGCTTCCTTCAAAAATTTTTTGAGTCTCTGCCACATCTCCTTTAGCTCTTCTTCTCTATCCGCCACCAGCACAATATTGTTTGCGTATGTCAATGGCCATACCTTTCTTTCTCCTACCACTATGCCCCCGGCTTGTCCTTTCCTTAATTCTTCTTCTAGTCCTGCCATGTAGATGTTGAATAACGTCAGGCTCAATGGACATCCTTGTCTGACTCTCCTCACAGTCCAAAATTCTCTTGTGTTGTGGTTATTGACTTTCATTATATTCCTCGTTTCTTCGTATTTTTCTCTAATCCTTCGGATTAGCTTTTCGCTAATTCCCATTTTCCTCATATTCTCCTCCAGTTTCTCTTTGTTTAGCCTATCGAACGCCGCTCTTAAGTCCGCAAAGCAGGCATATACTTTTCCTCTTTCTTTGGTTAGCTGTTTGTCTATGATGTGGTTTATCACGTAAACCGCATCGGTCACTCCTCTTCCTTTTCTTAATCCAAATTGACTCTCTTCCGATTTGTCTTCAATCTCTACTTTCAGACGTTCATCCAATGTCCCTGCGTAGATCTTGTATGCAGTATCCATCAGCGTTGCCCCTCTGTAGCTCTTCGCTACTCTCTTGTCCCCCTTTTTTCCAGTCCTCTGGTATCCTCTCCCCTTTCCATATCTTCCTTAATAACTCCCACAACGTCTCCCCCACTTCCTTCGGTGAGTACTCCCACACCTCATTTTCTAACCCGTCTTCCCCCGTTGCTTTCTTTTCCTTGCAATTCCTTAGCTGGTAAGGAACCTCTTCCTTCCTTATATTATCTTCTCTCTCCTCCGTTGTTTTCTCTTCCTCTCTATGCCCCCCGTTTTTCGGCTCTCTTTGTGCTCTGTTCCTTCCAAAATTTCCATGAAATGATTTTTCCATTCTTCTTCGCTTATATCCTCATCTATGCCTTCCCTATTTCTTCTGTATCTGTTAATGTGTTTCCACGCTTCTTGTTCTGTTTTGATCATCTTTATCTTCTCCATTTCTTCTTCTTCGTGTCTTTCCTTTCTTTCCTTACACCATTGTTTGAATGCCTGTTTTCCTCTATAAGCACTTCTCTGCGGCATTTTCCTTTCCTAAACCTCGTCATCTTCCTTCTCATCTCTCTTTTCCTTTCTTTCCACTCCCTGTCGTACTACGCTTTCTCCCCCATGCCCCATTTCTGTATCTTCACTTGCTTCTTTGGCACTGCTTTGTTTATCTTTTTTTTGATTTCTGTCCACATTTCCTCCACTGTTCTTCCATTGCATGTCCAGTCTCTGCACTTATCCAGGTATTTTTCCCTACTTTCGTTTGTCCATTCTCTTTTCTCCTTCTCTTCTTCCTCTTTTTCCTCCTTTGCCTGTAGTTCCGACCCCCCTATTTCTATCTCTAACGGCATATGGTCTGACTCTGTCCTTTTTCCTACTTTCATGCCAATTATCTCTTCTGCCGCCTCCTGGTTGACAATCATGTAGTCTATCACAGAATTTCCTCTCTCCCCAATGTATGTCCACTCCCCCCCCCCCCCCCCCCTTCTCTTCCATTGTTTATCGCCAGCCTCTTTCCTCCAGCTACTTTAACAGAATTCTTCCTTCCCTGTTTATTGTCTTATCATTTGATCGTCTGTTTTTTCTTTCCCTAGTTCCTCGTTTATCGGCCCTCCCTCCTCGTTCTTACATTCCAGTCTCCGCCGATGATCATCACTTCCTCTTCTCTTCCGTCTACTCTTTCCTCTATTTCTTTCCATGTCCCTTTTGTGTCTTGATTATAAACTACCATTATCCTATACGTCTTATCATTGTGTTCTATTTTTCTTTCCACTATATTATTACTTATTTCTTTGTATTCGATCTCTCTCAGTTCCTTATTTATACCCGTTATCATTCCCTCCTTTGCTCTTCTTTTTTTTCTTACTCTTAATCCTGCCTTAGACTTCCAGTCGAACTTTTTGAATAGTCTATATGTTACGCCACGAGGCTTACCACAGGCTGTATTTCTAACCGTCGCTCGCGGTCCTACAGTGTCGCAGGCAGATCGTCGTATCTGCCCGAAGGAACATATGCAATATATCGACGAGCGTGTCACGTAAACTTAAGGGTTGGTTGATGAAATAAAATAGCTGAGTCGTAACACAACTATTGTCTTTATTTCACAGCACAGGTTTACACTGATCGGAGAGATGTTCACTATTCTAGAGTTTTGTCTATTTCTCTTTAAGTGTTCTCTTAGCTTTCTCCTCTTTATTCACTTTTCTCCCTCTCTCTTTCTTTCCTTCTCCAGCCTCTCCTCATTTTCGTTCCACCTGTACCATCTATTTTCTATCTTTAGCTTCTTATATCCGATCCTTACATATTCACCCTTTTCCCTTCTTCCTCTGGCTATTCTTCTTATTTGCTGCTGTACCTCTCTTTCTTTTCTCGTCAGATCGTCATCTATGTATATCCCCTTTTTCAGTTTGCTTTTCTCCTTCATTACCCTTATTTTTTCCTCTCTTGATTTCATCGTCGCTACTAATATTGTGTTTTTGTCCCTCGTCCTTATCGTATGTATTTTTTCTACTTCTGCCTCTATTTTCATCTTTCCCTTATGAACTCCCTTACTGTCCCTTCATTGCTTCCTTCGTTAAAGTCTGCTCCTTTAATTACTATGTTTTTTCTTCTCTTCTCTCTCTCTTCTCTGTCTTTCTCTTCCTCGATTCTTCTAATTCTGCCCACTAGCTCCTTCTTTTCCCTTTCCCACTCTTCTCTCTCTCTCTGGTTCTCTCCTCTCTCTCTCTTCCTCTCTCTTTCATTTCTTTTCCTCTCCTCTTTAATTTTCTTCTTCATTTCCTCCACTTGTTTTTCAAATATCCCTCTTATTTCTCTTATCAACGCCTCAAATCCTCTTTCCATCCTCTCTATTTTTTCCATCAATAACCTCCATTCCTCTCTCCCTGGTTGGTGACTCCTTTCCTGTCAAGTTGTACCTCTCCAGTGTGTTTTTGAAGTCATCCTTGTCTCCCGCCTTACCCGTGTTCCTTTGTCTTCCTCTGTTTAACGCCATCTTTTGTTTCCCTGCCTTACTTACTTCCTTATTTGCCGCGCTTTTGCCTTCCTAACCTCTTCTCCTCTAGTTTTCTAATTCGTACCTCTCTCTCGTTCCAGACTTCTTTTCGCTTTTCTTTCACTTTCTCCTCGTATTCTCACCCTTTATTTTCCCTTCTTCGTGACATTTTGTATTTCATTCTTCTTTTTCCCTTCGCACTTCCCTTTTTCTCCAGAGCTCTCCGTCCGCATGTTACCTTCGCCCCGAACCAAACCCCTGTCGTAGTTTACCCATGCTATCTTGACGTTCTCCACGTTGACGTTCAGAGTACTGACCAGAAATCACATTGCGTTTACGGCTGAAGTTTGTAATATATTTCGGATTACTTCTGTGTTTTCTCAACTGCAGTTTCTAGGATTTTGTGCGTTTCTTTCTCTGATATGGAGAAAGTTTGGGTTAGACAATAATTTAAACTGTGCAACCAGCAATGAGCAAACTGACCCGAACCGAAACAGAACGGTAAGCGTGGAAATATTTGTATACAACACATATATATCACATACTGATGCCTTAACTCCTTACCCTACTGTTTAAGTTTGTTGAAGTGGTTACCACTTCTAAGAAAACTCTACATCTGGTCTTTTTAGTTTTTTCAAGCACTGAAGCCATCGACAGCGTGTAGACAAAAGACTGCGACGAAGTCAGACCATAAACAGTAGACAGGCGACGGTGGCTTTGGGGTTTTCTGTTATGGGGTAACACAGCTAGCGTGCGGATCTGCACCAGCTCAAATTGTATTCTTACTTATAATTACACTTCTATTTAAATATATTTTCTGTCTTACAATTTATCCACGAGTTTTGTCTGTTTACACATCGAATAACCTCAACAAAGTTAAAATAGTGTGTGCCATAAGCAACAACATGGTCGGTCACACGTCGAGCCATTTTACGGTTTGGCTGAGCTCTCGAAGCTATACAAATCGCATATGTCGTTTGATATATAAATGCATGTGTAAGGTACAACTAATTTTATTCTGCAAGATGTTTAGTAAATAATTACTACCAATTGATCATTAAACAAGAAAGATTTATTATCTTAAAGTAAATAATAAATTAATAACATCGACGTACCACGTCTCTCACACGATGCTGTAAGTTAAGGGGTTAAACGTGTACTCAGTGTCGAAAAGGCATGTTCTACTTATAAAAATTATTTTGTTAATAACTTCTTAACAAATAATGAGCGAAGGCTAAAATTTCGAAACGTCATCCTAGAAGGGGTGGTTGACAAAATATAAGAAGGTTAAGGTCGTTGAAGGTGAGTACCCTAAATAGCATTTTTACTAGGTTATTAAAGCAAAGTGATGACGTAGGCTGATCTAGTCTCCTCTATAACCATACGCGTTCTGAACGCACGTAGGTAGGTTACATATCAAGGTTAATTTTTCGGACTCAACTTTTACCATCGGTAGTAATGATGTGTGTAGAAATAAACATAATCATCTCATTCATCATAAGAACCTTGTAAGAAGATAGCATTTTTCAAATATTACAAGTAATGCTGCTTTTCTCTTGTATGTAGGTAAATATTGGGAAAGTATAATACTGGTTTTGAGCTAGTATTGTATGATATTGAAACGAAATTCTAAGTTCATATGTTTCCTAAAACGTTTCGATCGACGAAGCATGTAAAGTTTTGATCGATTGTCTGCGATATCAGTATATCGCTTTCATCTTATTATGTAGGCATATAACGCGCATTTTGTAATAAGTTTTTTGGTTGAACAGCTACTAGTAAGAAAATAAGGCGCCTTATACCTTTCCATCCCGTTTTTCCTCGATTGCTCACGTGAATGGTTCTTTTAATGATAAATGTACGCTTTGGAGTGAGATTAGAAGTTCGAAGATCGGTGGGAGAGGGGAGTAGATGAAAGGGAGGAAAAGACGTTGTATAAAGATGCTAGTTCATTTTGTAAACGATAGACATTAAGTCGAAAAAAAGGACGAAAATGACAGAACGAAGAAGCTTTGTACCCGCACGTGTTTTATCTAGTCGTAAGTGGAATAACACACCAACTTGTAGAAAATGAGACGCCTGTTTGCAAAAGAATTTGCGCTAATTACGTTGGATGGAAATAATGTATCGATGGAGATTGCCGGAAGGAAAAGATTACCGAAAATGAATTCGA